TGATTTCTTGAGTATTTTTGTAATGAAAATCCAGTAATTTAATGTAATTTAAAATGATATAGTATTTAGATATTAAAATGTAAAAACTCAACCAAAAGAAGAAGTAAAAAAAGAAAATTCAACTCAAAACTCTATCCTTTCCCAGATTATTTCCTGTCCTAACGGTAACTGTTAGTAACTGTAAAAACTTAAAATTGCTTTATCCCACTATATTGAATTGTTCAGAGTTTTCAAGAAAGAAAAGATCTGAGTAGGCTAAAATAAAAATGATTTTTGGCTTGGGCAAGAGATATGAATACTGACTTAAAAGTTGTGAGGCATTACACAATATGTTGCTATATTTTATCAAACAATCATTTACCATATTTTTTTTAACTGTCAAAAAAGTATCTTCACTCTAATCCCTTTTCAAAAGATAAGTCACCTGACTCTCAAATGATTCTGTGTGGTTTGCAACTAAGAACCAGTTATATATAAAAGCATATAAGAGATAAGGTTCTCTTCGCACATATGTGCTAGTCGTTTCTGGCTCTAGGGGGCAGTGCTCATCTCTGTTACAAAGCCGAAGAGCCAGCGCTGTCCGAAGACGTCTCCGTGGCCATGTGGCCGGCATGACTAAACACTGAAGACGCATGGAACACCTTCCCACCACGGTGCTCCCTATTTTTCTACTTGCATTTTTACATGCTTTCAAACTGCTAGGTTGGCAGAAGCTGGGGCAAGTAATGGGAGCTCATTCCATTATGTGGTGCTAGGAATTCGAACCGTCGAACTGCCGACCTTTCTGATCGACCAACTCAGTGTCTTAGCCACTGAGCCACTGGTATATAAGAGATACCACTGACCAAAAGAGCTAAAGTATTCAAAACATGGCCATAACAGCTCAAAATAAAATTGGCAAAATGATGCCACATAATCACCCTGTCTCCAAGGCCTTGTTTCCTGAATAACATATGAATAGGAACCACACAAATCTCCAGGGTTGGGATGGGGAGATCATTCCAGATAGCAGGAATTACAATAGAGTAGGCATACTTCCTAAGTTCCAGGATATGACATACTTTAGTTGATGGGACCTGGAACATACTTATCCCACTGAATTGTACCAGGTAGGTAGAGAAAACAGGAGTTAGTTAGGCAGTTCCTCAGATAAGCAGACCCTGTGCCTTGAAAGGCTTTGAAGTGTGTAGTGGAGTTGACCTGCAAAACAATTTAAATCAATAAGTAAATACATAATAATAATAAAGTCAGTACCATGAATTGTACCCAGAATAGGTGAACTGGTAATACACATAATGTGGTGCACCCATTACTGTCTGGATGACCTCATTCTGGACAAACTCTGGTTCAAGGACAGTTCAAGTAGAATGCATTAAAGTAGCCCAAGTCTACTTTAACAGTGAAGTATTTTGTAAAGAATTAGATTTTTTCCTGGGAGTATATTTGAGCCCAAATATATTTTTGAAACTTGCATGATGCAAAATATTGTTTCTTTGCTACAGAAATCCAGTTTCCCATCATAAAAAAAGGTTATATATAGTGTAGAGACCTTCATGGCTACCGAAGATTCAGTGCTACTTTGGGGTCCACAGAGTGAAAGTGTCTGATTTGGAATAGGGAGATGCAACATTAAAGCCCCTTGTAACTGTGAGACTCATTAAGACAATTTTGGGATGATCACTATCTTCTAATTTACCTGTTTTTGCACACTTACTGAGCAAATAATTAGGTTGGAAACATGGATCTGGGCCTCTTGGGAAAAATGTTCAACTGTGCAACTTCAGTTCCACCATCGTTTTGTAAGAAACTCCTCTCTGTCTGGGCATGTTAATAGTTAGATAATAGAAAAAAATCTATTATTTATTGTTGGGAATTATTTCCGATGGATGAATAAGCCTTCGGTTTACCCTTTAGATATGCTTAGAAGTGTCAGGTGATTTCCCTACCCCATTGCTTAGTATCATACCATATGTGTCAGTAGGAAGGCAATCCTGGATGACAAATGCTACTGGCTACTCTGTAAGTGGCCCTTGGATTCTTTCACATTTTTACATTACCTAATAATAATCAGATTAGGTAGTGTTAGTGTTAGAAAGGATGCAGTGGCTCAGTGGCTAAGACGCTGAGCTTGTCGATCAGAAAGGTCGGCAGTTTGGCAGTTCGAATCCCTAGCGCCACATGAGTTCCCCTTACTTTTCCCAGCTTCTGCCAACCTAGCAGTTCAAAAGCATGTAAAAATGCAAGTAGAAAAATAGGGACCACTTTGGTGGGAACGTGCACCTTCAGCATTTAGTCATGCTGGCCACATGACCACGGAGACGTCTTTGGACAGCGCTGGCTCTTTGGCTTTGTAATGGAGATGAGCACCGCTCCCTAGAGCCGGAAACAATTATCACGTATGTGCGAGGGGAACCTTTACCTTAATCAGATATCAGCTGGCTAGTATAAATCACAATTTCTGCGTCCCTGCTTATCTTATTTAAACAGCTGGGACACTGCGTACTTTGATGTTTCAGCTTCTCATCAATTTCTTATGTTGCCAAAGTTTCCAAGTATTGGGTTTCTTTTTTCTTGAAGCTTGAGATCTAAAGTTATTTCATTCCTATCTGCTTTCTTCAACCTTCTATCCTGGAGGCTTACTGGATTCATTCCTATCCAGCCATGGGCATGCTATCCAAGGGTGAGAATTGTACTCTACAACATTGGAAGGGGAACAAGGCAAAATCAGTGGAATTAGTTCTCCGTCAAGGTATTGCAACCATGTTCTTGCAGATAGCACCATTAGTATTCAACAAGGCTCTTGACCAATCATTCTTTGGGGGGTTTCTTTTAGGTTTTTTTTTTAATGAAGAATCTGGAAAGTGGCAAAACTAAGCCAGGGCAGTGATATCACTCCTTCTTGAATTGTAGCAAAACAGAATTACTATTAATCTCAAAACCCTTGTGTGGCAGGCTGTTACTACATAGCAAAGTAAGAGTTCCAGCGGCTCTTGATAGTGTTTCCTAACCAGGCCTATCTTGAAGAACTGATACATTGGAATCAGCCTGATCAAGTTGGAAGAAATTGTTAGCAATTTCCCACTTTAGGGAGGTGAAAGGAGCCAAGGCTAGGAGGCACTGTTTTGGGTGGCAATACTAATCCTTTGGAGTGGTCTCCCCGTGGATATGAGGTTGGCTACTGTTTTGACCATTTTCTAGAAGAAACTCGAGACAGAGTTCTTATGGAGTATGAGCCTTGATGCCATCTTGGCTGGGTTTATAGATTGGTTTTTGTCAGAGGTGGTATTCAGCAGGTTCTGACCAGTTCTCAAGAACCGGTAGCGGACATTTTGACTAGTTCAGAGAACCGGCAAATACCACCTCTGACTGGAGATTTTGCAGTATCCTTCCCCTGCCACGCCCACCAAACTAGGCCCACAGAACTGGTAGTAAAAAAATTTGAATCCCACCACTAGTTTTTGTTTATGCATTTTCCCATGGACTTTGGCTGCTCTGTGTATTTTTTTATCTTTGCAATCCACCAAGAATCCTTTAGGATGAAAGCAGTCCATAAATGTGATAAATACGTTCGTTATCAACGAGTCACCTATGTACCATGAAAGGCTTCATTTTGTATATGATTTGCTGGAAAGAAAAAGTGTAATGTCTCATTAAAAAAACTTACGTTGCCTATGAAAAGCAGAATCCTAGTCTCTTGGAATTACCCGCTGTATTGTCCAGATAATGCCTTCTACGTTTTCTGAATGCAAAACAAGAGTGCCACCTACTGACAATATTTCTGAAGTTTATATGATTTGTAACTTGCATGCTCCAAGCTCTTACTAAACTTCTGTGTAGTCATGATCCCTGAAACTCTCTCCTGATATTGTTGCATTGCACTCTGGAGGAAACGGCTTTCTTAGCATTCAAAATTAAGTAGCGTTCTTAAATATTGGTTTTTAAGATATAAAGACATTTAAACACATAATGATATATTAAAACAAAATAAAGTGCTGTATAAAATGTGAAAGAATGCTACAAGATAAAGTAAGGACTTCTGAATTAATTTAAAAATATTTATTTACATGAACAAAATACACTGAAAACATAAAACAATCTGAATTATACAAAAGCAGAATCTTGCTATATACTATACACTTACATATATGCATTTCTAATCATGATTACATATTTACAGAAATTCAACATTCTATTTAAAAGGAATTATATACCCAAACAATTCCAATCTCATAAAATTCAAAACTCATGAAATTTGGATGGATCTGAAGCTGTTCTCAGACTATAAGGATCTGAAAGAGTTTTCTGTATTTGATCTATTTTATATAATAGATATTCCTTTGATTTTAAAAAATGTAGACACATTCCAATCTTCAAATAAACACAGTACATGTGTTTATTTGATTAGATATATGCACTTTAATTTATACTAAAAATGTTAAGCTTGAACTCAAATTGTAACTTGTGACCAAAATATTCAGCATCAATAATTAATTTTCTAGTCCTGTAAAGTCTTATTTTCCTAACTTTTGAATGATCATATGTACTGATATTTCTAAGTTTGCATTATTAAAGTGTGGGAGAAAATTGGAAAGGCACCAGAACTGTTTTCATTTTTTTCCAGTTTTTGAAAGTAAGTTTTAAATATGAATTTAGGATAATAAAGTGTTGTATTAGGAAATGAGTTCTATTTTTTATGTCCCAAACTGTACAGCTAATAAAACTGTTGAAGACAGCACAGAAATTGTATTTAAGACTACAGACAAAGAAGAATTGAAGATTTTATTACTTTTGCTACAAACATTGCCATAACCCAGTTAAACATATGTAAGAAAAGTAGCAGTTCACCCAAAATGAAAATTTGGAGCATCACAAGTTTGAAAAGCAGCAGTTTAAATTAGGGCTGGATAAATGTCCTCTGTGAAACATTTTGTGTGTGTGTGTGTGTTGAAAGAAAGCTTTGAAATGCTCAAGGTATTATCTGAGAGGTTTCCTCAATTTAGTCACTGGGATGCTTCTTAATGAATTTCAGTCAATTAAGGAACTTGCTATGAATATTCACCAAACATTCTGATTTGTGTGATATTATTAAAGGCACCAAAGGTCAATTCAGAGTAAGAAACAATAGTTCCTATTTGAATGCCTCGCTACAAATAGGAAATGGAATAGAAATAAACACTTTGTAACCATTCTGAAAATCAAAGCATGTTTACTTTCTTTTTAATACTTATAAACAGAACTTGAACTCCATGAAGTAACACTACAATGTATCTATGGGGAGACAGAATGCCTTAATCCTGTAGATAAGAAATTTGTTCTACGGTGTTTAGACAGCTTGATCACCCAAAGAAAAACATATTAAAAAACCCTTCAAAAACAAAACCACCACAAATTGTAAACTTACATAAATAGGTACAAAATCCCAAACTCATCAGAGTAAGCTGCCTTTGCCTAGATCATTATTTTCTCCTAGTATCAATTTATGGATGGCTTTTTTTTTCATTTTCTTGACCATTTTGGATATTGGGTTTTTTTCCTCACCATCAAGACCAAAATGATATCCAATATAAGAAGGAACTCTGAACATAAATAACACCAAAATAAATATATGTCTGACTCCAGCAGATATATAGGTGGTGGACTAGGCTGACCAGATGCTAGAGCATATGACAAATACAAAGAGTCATGGTGTGGTATAAAAAAACTGGGCATTTATATGGTGCAGCTGGCTATGCATAATCTTTTCCTAATTTATGAGGCTGGAGCATCTGGTGCGTTGCTGTCATGAGATCTGAATCTTTCCCCCCAAGCAAGCATATCTTTTGTGTATCAAATTTTAAAAAGCTACCCTCCCAGTCAACTAAACGACAATGTAATTGGGAGATACTTTTATTCTTGAGCTATTGCTTGCAATATCTTGTAAGGATACAGTTTCAAAAGTTGTGTTCCTAATTTGTATAGTTGTCCTTTAATGGATAATTTGTTTACTGAATTGTTGCCATAGTTTTTCCAACTGTAAAGGAAACTAGGTTGTCTCTATTACCTAACCATGTGCTAAAACAATCCAAAGAGTTAAACTGTATTGGATCACAACAAATACCCAATACGTAGTGTAACTGTGTACCTAAACTGAGGCATTGGCAGCTAATCCTAAAGTCAAGGAGATATTCAAGGAGAATAGGAGACAAGAGAATCTATAAATATAAACTTATAAGTAAATAAGTCTATAAAAATATTTCTAGTCTTCTAATTAGTGATTTTCAGCTTGCTTTTTGCTAACAAAAAAAAAAGGTAAAAATGGAGATATAGATAACTTTATAGATAGTGCTTGCTTAATGACTGGAACTGGCAACTCTGTTGCAAAGTGATGTGGTCATTAAGTGAGATAGCAATAGCAACAGCATTTAAACTTATATAATGCTTCACAGTGCTTTAGAGCCCTTTCTAAGCAGTTTACAGAGTCAGCATATTGCCCCCAACAATCTGGGTCCTCATTTTACCCACCACAGAAGGATGAAAGGCTGAGTCAACCTTAAGCCGGTGAGGATCGAACTGCCAGCAGCCAGCAGAAGTAGCTGCAATGCTAACCACTGCGCCACCACAGGTCTTATAGCCTGTGGCTCTGGTAGACTTGAAACCTCATTAAGTGAAACAACTGCGGTTGTTAAAGAAGACATTGAGTGGATTGCAACTTATGATTTTACTGTGTCTCCACTGATTCTACTTGTTGGAAGACGTGTGTGAAATGTGCAAATGATAATCACATAACTCGTGACCACAGGGATTCTGCAATGATTCTGCAAAGTTATTTTTCCAGCACCATCGTAACTTATGAAGGATTGCTAAACCAGGCAGTTGTTAAGTGAGGACTACTTCTATTTTTTTTCCTTGCAGTCTTTATCTTGATATAGTTGCTGCAAGATACATATTGTCAAGGAAAACTATCCTATAATAAAAAGATAGCCACCTCAACATTTAACATTGGGGTTAAATCGGGTTTAGATCTAAGTATTACCGATTTCTATCTTGCCTTTCCTCACAAGATCAAGGCAGTGTAGATACCAGTTACTCCTCCATTCCCCCACCTAGTAACTCTGTGTGGAACACTGGACTAAAAGAGAACAACTGGCCCAATCACCGAGTGAACTTCTGAGGCTGAGGGCAGACTTGAACCTGGGTCTCTGTGGCTGTAATCCAACATCTTAACCACTACAATTCACTACCTCTCAAATAAATTTTAGTGTTATCTAACTAGTTATAGTTAAGGAGCATGAAATTTAAACCCTTATTTGTAAAGTGCAATGAATTAGTCTAGTTTTACTAATCTAGAACTTTCAGTTCTATTGAGAATACAAGTCCCAGATTTTTTATGTTTCCTGAGGATTCTGGGAACTGCACTTTTTGGAGGTATCAGTTTTGAGAAGGTGATTGTATCTCCCTGAATTTATGGACTAAATGTGCAAACAGGATCCTCAATGCTGGCAGGCCATTGCGTTTGTCACAGTTGTAAACTACTTGTGCACCACTTTCCAATGCAGAGTGAAGATTAATAATCACATGGCAAAATAGATACTGTAAATTTGGACACTAACACATGGCCCAAGTATTTATCATGGCCCAATTATTTGACACAAATGGTGCAAGTATTTACCATATCTGCAAAGATAACATTTGTCCATACAGTTATGAGTCATATATATATAGTAGGGTACAAATCTAATACATGCAGAAACCAGTAAGCCATTTTACATAAAGTGAAAGTCCTTGACTACAATATAGCTCCATCTACTTACTATGGTCTTTCCAAGTTCTCTGTGGAAATGCCTTAACTCAGGTGTGTCAAAACTCTATTTCACTGAGGGCCGCATCAGGGTTGTTTGACCTTGGGGGGCCAGAGTGGGTGTGTCCAGCTTGACGTCACTTGTGTCAGGGGCACCTGTGGTGGCCCGGGTTGGCTGTGGGGGATCCTCCTGCAGCACTCTGCCATGTGTGGCCCTCCTGAGCTGTTTTCGCTGGCAAAGAGCTGCAGGAGGCTGTCGCAGCCAAAAATGGAGCACAGGAGGACTGCACGCAGCTCTCAGGCTGGTCCTTTGCTGTTTCCATGGCAACCTCGCAAGTCAGATCTAAGCACCCTGCAGGCCGGATCTGGCCCGCAGGCTTTGAGTTTGACAACCCTGTCTTAGCTGAAACCTATACTTTTCTAGTATTTCTTTAAAAGTTGGTCTTTTTGGATTTTTCTTCCATTAGAAAAAAGGCAACTTCACAAACTGCCCCTACTACATATAGAAAACTATACTTGTAATAGTCCCAGTCTCTTCCACTGACCAGTATGGACAGAAGCCTCTTATCAGTTAATCCTCCTATCTTTAAACATTATCATACTTTGGGCAGGATAAAAGTAATTGCCGTGAGAACAAAGGGCAGAATAGTGCTCTCCAACCATTCTAGCCCACCAGCATACAATCATCAAGGCCACTAGCAAAGAATGATAGGATTTATAGCATAACATATTTAGAAAATACCAGCTTCTTAACAAAGGGATGTCAATACAGCATCTTGGCATATTATGAAATCATTCTATTAGAATCTTATGAATATCTATTCAAAATGGAGTTAATACAATAGGACTTTTTTTTTTTTTTTTTACCAAGCATCTATACGAGTGCAGCTTCAGTTCAGTTTTTTGGCATCTACAAGTTCTCATCTCAGGTTTGATACCATCAAACTATATGAATACCTACTCTACTGCAAGGATTAAAGTGCTCACAAGCATGGATGCTTCTGATGAAGTTTCCAATAATGCTCTTTCATAGTAAAAATGGCTTTCCTAATTTTTGGAGAGTCATTGGAATTCATCTCTAAAACTTCAGTCAACCCAGTGGGGTTTGTCATACCCAGACGGTTTTAGTGAGCACCTTAGAACAGTGGGTTTTGGGTTTAGGACATCTGCTCTGGGAAGATCCAGATTTTGAAGATCAGGACATGTGTCTTGGCCAGTGATCGATTTAGAGTAATCTGTGATGCCATCTTCATGAATATGTTCATTTTCAGAGATTTCTACAGCCATATCTTCTTGAGTGCTCTTTTCTCCTTTCTGGATTCCTTGGGAACTATCGATATCTAGGTCTTTGCTATAATTGGGATCAGTGATTTTTGCCTTCTCGGTGACATCTAATTTCTCTGCTGGTTTTTCATCTTCACACAGTTCCATTGGCTTGTAGGATGTTGATGTTATAATGTCATATCTGCATTCTGACTTATATTCGGTATTACCTACTTGGTTTCTTACCACGGTCACCTTTAAAAAAAATGTAACAACAAAATCAAGTCAGTCATCCATTCCATTTTTTTAGAACAGCAAAAAGGGATGAAATAGAAATTATAGCAGAGGGCTACACGGTCTCAAATCTAGCAGGTGAAAACTAGGACAGACAGGTCCTGATCTGCCTATGTTTTTTCTAGTTGAGACTGAACAAATTCCCTCTCCCCCTGTACAATTGGCCCTTGGTTCAGGACTATTTCTTTAGCTATCTTTCTAAATTATAATAGCGCTGACTTGTGATCAGTTCTCCTACTTATGTCTCCGCAGTCACATGATTGCAACTCAAGTGTTTGGCAATCAGTTCGCACTTACAACAGTGTCCTGCATTCATGTGATTGCCATTTGTGACCCTCCCAAATGAGTTCCGATAAGCAAGGTCAAAGGAGAAGCCAGCAAGAGGTTGCAACTCATGGTCTCACTTAACGACTACGAGGAAAAAAAGGTTGCAAAAGTCTCTATTGTGATTATAAATCAAGGGCGACCTATACGTCTTGTAACACTCTTCATGCATCGTAGACCTTTCACTGAAAATCTACTGAATGAATTCCGAGCAAAGGGGAATACAGACCAAATTAACATATGTGACTATATATTTTAAGTGGTATCTATTATTTTGACATAATCAGTTAACACACGGAGAATTTTGGTATGATTGTGGTACCATATAAATGTGATATGCAATCAGTTAATTAATTAATGGTTAGGTACAGATAATCATAGAAAAAAAACCTATGCGATTGCTACGAGTCAACAACTTGATAGCACATAATAAATCCAAAGTCCATATCACTGAAATATGCTGAAAATTTTCTTACCTACTGAGTAGTGAATTTAGAGGAAATATCTTTATAATACAACATGCATTCTAAAGTTAAACATTTTATTTGATTATACACTGTTATTAGTGGGTTCTAAAATTCATAAACTTGGTGAGTGAACGCGACCAAAACATCTGTAGTCCATGATTCACAAGTCACTTGGTTTTCAGTTTTAATGAAAATTGATATAAAACTAAGAGGAAAGGTCTTGGAAGACCAGCAATTAACAATGCTGATATTACATTCATCCAATCAATATAAATTTTCCACATGAAAACGAAGTAGCAATAATATACCTTTAACACCCTACCCAGGTCCTTGGGAAGAATAGGTGGATAAAAATAAAAACCCAGTCTAAACAGTTGGCTGATTGTTCAACCAATCATCATCATCATCATCATCATCATCATCATCATCATCATCATGCAACAGTTAAATGAATCCAGTAAATATAAAGAACTGCACTGAAAGTCACACTACAAGATTGATGGGAATACATATATTACTCATGCTGTGCTATTATTGTCAACATTGATTGCTTTGCTTGAGGGTATTTCTGCATGAATAATACTTAAGAGAAATTCTTTTGCTCCTGAATACAGATCATACTAGTTGCTGGATTTGGCTGCAACTAGTATGTAACAAAATTCTGAAATTAACATTGCCCAATAAATATTCCTTGCCTTTTGTTTTAATTTTGTCTTATATTTGAATACAAAAACATACTGTCAGATTGTTACACCCTTTCCTGAGAAATCTCTTAAGAATGCTAAGGAAGTTAATGGAAAACAACCCCCACAAAATTTAAGATTGCCAGAATTAGTTGGCAATTGCTCAGTTATTGTGTTGAAATGACCACAAGCAGTTATCGCAAGACCAAATGAATGGTGTCCTTAAGCATCCAAAAACACTGGTTTTTAGTTTCCACCTTAAGGACAAATAATTTGGCTAAACAAGGGATTACTTGTCTTTAGGACTTCACTATGATCCCTTTTTACTAATGGTTTTCACATCATATTTACAATGTTATATTGACTGAGTAAATATTGAGATTGGTGCTAGCCTTCTATGGACTCGGGATAGTGAGGTGTCCTTGATATTTTTCTCCACAAAGCAAAGCCTCATTGTACCAATGTAAGCTACAAGAGAGCACTCACTAGAGAGCACGTCCTATGACAGGAATAACAAACTCATAAACCCACTGTTATGGTCTGTGGTAATGACCTTGGGAGAGGAAGAGTTGCAGGTAGACAATGATCTGATAAATGAACATTAAGTCTAAAGAAAAAGCAGTGGCAACAGCATCTCAGAAGAGATCTTCCCTAGTTTTTGGGAAAGTAAATGGGAAGGATAGGTGGGGTACTTTCAGATTTGCAAGATTATGTTAAAATGACCTTGCAATAAACATAATGTTAACTGCTCAGAAGGAATAAAGATACTGGGGTATCTTACCAGAGATTTCGGAAGCGTAATTTTTCTCTCCTGAAATTTTATAAGCACTTTATAAGTAAGAATGATTACCACAATAACCAGGAAAACAATTCCAAAACTTATCAATAGTGGAAAGCCTATAAAATTAAAAGAGACATGTTATTGTATAAAATTAATGCTGAATACATACTACCACCATATAATGTACATTTTCTATATATGATGAAGAGACAAAAGATATATAGTTATCCAGCAATTAATTGGTTCTTCTTTCATAAAGCATAATTAACTCATAAAGCAACTCCCTAAAATCACAAATGTATGCAGCCACTGTCCAAAAAAGCATAATCCAGTGTACTTAAATGGGTCCAATTATAAAATCATTTTATACTGAGGTAGCGAGCTGGCTTGACATCATAGCAATGGTAGCTAACCTTTCTCCACAGCTTAAATTAGGGTTAGAGAACACCAACAGTTTGAAATATTATTTTTCCGACAATATTTTGTATAACTAGGGGAGCAGCAACTTTGGCCAATAGTACAAGTATACAGATATAAATAGTTTCTAGCACAGAGATCCCGAGAGAAAAAGCTTCATGGAAAGCAAAGACGACAGAAGCACTCAGAAAAGCAGAACAAGTACATACCACAAGCAGAAATATTTCACTTGGCCTTAACCCTTGCATTAATGCTTGGATGTTAAACTGTGTACAAATGTATACAAGTATAAATATTTTGCTTAAAAATGCTACTTAAAAAAAGAGCTCAGAATAGAATTGCCAAGTCCTATAAAACACATTTGGGATTTCCAACATTTCTTTTTCCTCAATATGAGGGAGTATCTCTTCTCTCATTTATTGATTTTAATTAGTTGGCAGGAATTAGTTGTTTCTGAATCTCTACATTGGTTAATGCAATATTAGAAATCTTGTAAATGCCGTGTTTCCCTGAAAATAAGACCAGGTCTTATATTAATTTTTGCTCCAAAAGATGTATTAGGGCTCATTTTCCAGTTAGGTCTTATTTTCAGAGAAATGTGATACTAAAATGTACCTGTCTGCCTGACAATCTTAACTGGGGTTTATTTTGGGGGTAGGGCTTATATTACGAGCATCTGAAAAAAAATCATGCTAGGGATTATTTTCCGGTTGGGTCTTATTTTCGGGAAACACGGTACAGGTAATACCTGGGCTACGAGCATTCCCTTAGCAAATGTTCAAAGTTATGCGATAAGTACCTTCCAGCGTTTACAAACAAGTCCCGAAACTACAAATCTTGCAGCACCATGACAGTTGTTCGCCCTTACGAACAATTGCACAGCCGCTGCAACATTTGTCCTGCACATTGCCAGCCAAAATAGAGCTTCAGAGGGGTAGATCCGCCCCTGTGATGCTCCATTCGGGCCTCCGGAGCCCTTGCCTGGCAGGTTACAGGCCAAAATGAAGCTTCGGGGGGCGGACACTCTGTTCAGGCCTCCAGAGGCTTCCCCCAGCAGGTTGCAGCCTGAAATGGGAGCTTTGGAGGGGTAGATCCACCCTTCCAAAGTTCCATTTTGACTTGCAACATGCCAGGGGAGGCCTCCAGAGGTCCAGAGTGTCAGAGAGGTGGATTTGCCTCTCCGAAGCTCCATTTCAGCCTACAACGTGCTGGGTGAGGCCTCCGGAGGCCTGGAGTGTCAGAGAGGCAGATGCGCCCATCTGGAGCTCCATTTTGGCCTGCAACGTGCTGGGCAAGGGCACCAGAGGCCCAAACGGAGCTGCAGGGGTGTGCATGTAGCTGAGAGAAGACTGCTTGCTAGATCTTCACAACCTGGTGCGGCAGGTTGGGTGGATGGGCAAAGCAATTGTGGGGAGCATGAAGTATTTCAGTGGGTCAGGAGGCCTTGGGTGGTCTTAGGCAGATGGCCTGTTCCATCACTAGGTCTCCCCGTGGCCTTCCCCATCTTGAAATGCCTCATGCACTTAACAAGCCTTGCATTTGATTAGCAAGTGTGTGGGTGAAAGGAGGGACTGATCCTGTTCAAGGTATGAGATTCACTCCCACAAATCCTCCCATTACGAATCAAATGGGCAGGCTCCATTACAGTTGTAACTCGAGAAGTACCTGTAATTTAGACATCCACTATACACAAATTTCAACATTTTAAAATGAGATATATTAAATTTATCACCTCAAAATAACGGTTCTTTTCTCTCAGTATTACCAGTTGGAATTTATAATGAAAGAAAAAAGAAATGAGAGGAGGAGGGTGGGGTGGGGTGGGGAAAGGAAAAGGGGAAGGGGAAAAGGAGGGAAGGAAAGGAAAATCCAACTTCTGCTTTTTTGTTCTCTTCCACCCCTCTGGATTTTTCAATAAATAATACTATATACTGTATTTCAATATAATAATACTATATACGCAATATACTGAGAAAAAAACCTTTCCCCACAGACATGTAAAAATGAGATGCTGATAGAAATGTGCTGAGCTTCAGGACAGAATATTTTGTACAATTATCTATTTACTGAAGATTTAAAATCTTTACCTAGGCTGAACTTGGGAGTTGGTGAGATGCATTTTTCTTCTGATTCTTCACCAACCTTGTTTAGTGACAGTGAAATGACTTGAGTGGAAATACAGTAAGAGGTATCCAAAGACACAGACAGAGATACATTGCATAGCTCAAGAGAGCAGTCATCTGAGATAACCTCTTGTTGCTATAAAAAAATGAAATATATTGAAGTTAGAACTTCCTTTAAGAAACGTAAACATAATAAACAGAAATATACAGTCTTCATCTGCAAAGAAACCAATTCTTTCTTCAAACCTTTTGAATCTCGTTTTGGTCTAGAATACTCTGCACCATTATTAGCTCAAAACATTTACTTCCAAAAATCTATCAAACAACCCTTAAAGAAGGCATGGTTTGAAGAACTAATTCAGAGTTTTCTGGAATGTTGTTTCCAAACCTGTGAGTTTTGAATTTCATATGAGTCACATTTAGTCTTGCAAGATTCTATTACTGTATCTTTATCATAAAAATAATATTGAACTGCATGATTTTGGTTTCCTAGTATGGTCTACCTTTAAAGGTAAAGGTTCCCCTCGCACATACGTGCTAGTCGTTTCCAGCTCTAGGGGGCAGTGCTCATCTTCATTACAAAGCCAAAGAGCCAGCGCTGTCCGAAGACGTCTCCCTGGTCATGTGGTCGGCATAATTAAACACTGAAGGTGCATGGAACAGTTACCTTCCCACCAAGGTGTTCCCTATTTTTCTACTTGCATTTTTACATGCTTTCGAACTGCTAGGTTGGCAGAAGCTGGGACAAGTAATGGGAGCTCACTCTGTTACATGGCGCTAGGGATTCGAACCGCCGACCTTTCTGATTGACAAGTTCAGTGTCTTAGCCACTGAGCCACCGTGTCCCTAGGTCTACCATTAAAGGATGATAAATGGAAACTGGCAGCAGGCATTCTGCCAAAGAAGAGATTATTGGTGATATATTGCCTCACCTCTACTGTGCTACCACCAATGTCAGAGATAGCAGGACCAGCCACCACTAAATTCACAAGGCTTAATGACTTTTTTTGAATACAGCATCAAAGGCACAAATATTATGAAGAAAAATTAGAGACTTAAAATATACCCCTTCTCGATCTCCGTTTTTCCAAACGAACAATTTGTAGGTGAACTCATCCATCAGGTCATAATATGGAAATAAAGGTGGTTCAATATTGACTACAATGTCCTGATTATCAATGGAAAGATTGAACTTTGGAGGTCCTATTTGGCCTGAAAGAGTTGCAACATTTTCTATTAGTATCACATTTTGACAACACAACACAACACTCTAATAAAATGTTTATTTATATAGAAATAGAATGCAATGATATAAGTCACTTTCTGGAAACAATAGGTAGGGAAGGCAATCAAGAGACCACTTCTACAAACTGATGAATATGTCAAAACTCAAAATCCGGCCTGCTTTATAAAACGTGGAGAATGCAAGAACATTTTTTGGGATGACATGCTTTGGATCTGTTCCAGTTAATCCTGTGGTGCTGCTGTCTGTACCCCATCTTGGAGGAAAATAAAAGTAACAAAGCATGAAAGAGCCAATGTGCACCCCTTTTTCACGAGAACTAGCCTGACTTGAAGTACTGTGGGGGTCCTTGGTGCTCTTTGAGCTTGGCGTCATGATAGAACCAAGACCCCTATAGGCCAATTCTGAGCTACAAATATTCTTCTCTATTGAACCTTAAAGAAGCCACATAGAAGCTATATCTTACTGAAAGAAGAAACTGACTTTGTCTCCACAACTACAGAAGATGTAGGCCAGGGGACTTCAAACTTGAAAGCTTTAAGACTTGTGGACTTCAACTCCCAGAATTCTTCCTCCAGTCATATTAGCTCAGGAATTCTGGGAGTTGAAGTCCACAAGTCTTAAACTTGCCAAGTTTGAAGACCCTTGATGTAGGCAATATGCTGATATATTAGTTTTGGCCTGAATAAAATGTCTCCCTAACAGCAAGATCAAGTCCACAGAAATGTCTTTACTTGACTTGTAAAATTAATAATGGAAAGAGGTTTTATGTATTCAATGGTTAATGATGGTTTGTTTGTCTTTAAAATTAATAAAATTTGTTTCAAAAAAAAAAAAAAAAGAAAAGAAATGTCTTGCCCTAGTTTAAGGATGCTACCACCTGTAATTCACAGTCTACCTCAGGCAGTCCGAGGATGGCTTTGGGTGCTGCCTTTAGGAAGTGATGTTTTCTCTTTTAACTCACATCCAGATGCTGCAGGTGAGCAATATAGGGCATAATAAAGAAAAAAAATTGGCAATGGCTTACAACAGGAACATTAAAAAAAAGACTTGATTTTGGCTGCTCAAGAGCAAGCTATCACAACACATAAAGATATGTGAATAGAACAACAAAAGAAAGTAACAGGCATCATGGGTGCAATACGTAAGTAACTGGAGTACCACTTGAATATCATCAGTATTGATAAAAATCACCATAAATCAATTGCAAAAGGAAGCTTCACTTGGAAGTTTGATGGCGTCAGTTAGTGTATTGTCGCAGGATATAAACTTTTTCAAGTAAAGCTGTTTTTTGCAATTGATTTATGGTGATTTTGTCAATATTGATGGTATTCAAGGGGTACTCCAGTTGCTTTGTTATTACACCCAAGGTGATTATAACTATGGCTCTCTAGCCCAGGGGTAGTCAACCTTTTTATACCTACCGCCCACTTTTGTATCTCTGTTAGTAGTAAAATTTTCTCTAACCGCCCACCGGTTCCACAGTAATGGTGATTTATAAAGTAGGGGACAAAACCCCTACCGCCCACCATGAAAGCTGGAACACCCACTAGTGGGCGGTAGGAACTAGGTTGACTACCACTGGTCTAGCCTATCAAAGAGAAGATTTGCAGGAGACATGATAATAGTCTTCCAATACATGTCAGGCTATCACAGAGAAGAGGGAGGTGATTTATTCTCCAAAGCACTGAAGGGCGGGACAAGAAGTAACGGGGGAAGTTTGTAAAAGAGATCCAATCTAGGAGAAATTTTCTGACAATGAGAACAATTAATCAAGGGTATAGCTTGTCTCCTGGAGTTGTGAGTACTCCATTACTGGAAGTTTTCAGAAATAGACTAGACAACCATTTGAATAAGATATAAGGCCGTGGTGGTGATGCCAATTAGAGCTGGAACTTCTCCTAACTAGAGCCCACAGATCATGGGTATCTACTGGGAGGAGACATGTTGAATACAGAATAGCAGAGTTGGAAGGGACCTTGTAGGTCATCTAGTCCAACCATCCCCCCTCTGCCCAAGCAGGAGGCCCTGTACCATTTCCAACAGACGGCAGTCCAGTCTCTTCTTGAAAGCTTCCAGTGACGAAGCTCCCACAACTTCTGAAGGCAAGCAGTTCCATTGGTTGATTGCTCTCACTGTCAGAAAATTTCTCCTTATTTTCAGGTTAAATCTCTCCTTGTTCAGTTTCCATCCATTATTCCTTGTCTGGCCTTCAGGTGCCTTGGAAAATAGCTTAACCCCTTCCTCTCTGTAGCATCCCCTCAAATATTGGAAGACTGCTATCATGTCTCCCCTAGTCCTTCTCTTCATTAGACTAGCCATGCCCAGTTCCTTCCTGTGCTTGTGGTGTCAAGATCCATGCTTCATCATTCTGGCATCATTTTGATTGGAAATCTGAGAATGAGCTTTGCTATCCCACCAACATGACTGGAAGGTACCATGTTGACAAAGGCTATTATAATTTGTAATATGTTAATGCAATCTTCAAATTTGATGTGAAAAACCAGTTGCTACACTACATCATAAAGTATAGAGACAACAAAAACAATTTAATTAATTTCTAAAAGTGGTAAATGCTTTTGATCTAAACCTTATATATGAATGATCACTTACCATCCCTGAGAACATCAAACTTTTGTTCAATATAGTTAGATTGGTGTTGTCCAGAAAGAGCTTTCACTCCAACCCAGAAAGTTTCACAGTTATCAGTTTTGTTGGTAAGATCACAATAGTTTTGCTTTATGTTTATGCAAGTATCCACTTTCTTGCTAACACCAGTGCTGCCAAAAATGGAGAGAGAAAAAGTCAGTTTATAGTCAAACTATTTTTAAAAAGTAGAAAGAAAATCTGTGATTGTTGGTTCTGCTGATTTTCTGGCCAACAAAATCAGTGACAAAAATTGAGCAAAGCAACACAGAGTTCTAAGTCAAAATAGTCTTACCTATAGCACTTGATCATCACCGTAAATAGAGGTTTTAAGGATGGACTTTCATAAGCCCAGTATGCAGAGATCTTCTCATTATATGAGTTTACAGTAACATTTTTGGGAGGAGGAACTAAAAATAAAAATAAAATGATAGATTTTAGTGAAGTTTTAAAACGGTTATAAAGATGCTATCAATATCTATTTTCTTTTACTGGGCAAGATTTTGAGATTCATCCTAGAAGAAACAGATGGTCTAAACCAGGGGTCTCCAACCTTGGCAACTTTAAGACTTGTGGACTTCAGGACCCAGAATTCCCCAGCCAGCAAAGCTTCTGGGAGCTGAAGTCCGCAAGTCTTAAAGTTGCCAAGGTTGGAGACCCCTGGTCTAAACCCTCTTTCAGGCAGGAATTAGGCCCAAATGTAGGACAGTAACACGTAGAACTTTGATTGATGGCCTCTGCTGGGCCCTGGATATCTCAGCAGTATTTGATACTGCTGACCCTGGCTGTGAAGTTTGGGACCACTACAATACAATATTTCTGCTCTTTCCACAGAATAACAGTATAAGTCAACATGAACATGTTGGGAAAGCAATGTCAAGCTCATGGCTCTTTCAGTGACAAAACTCTCTCATAAACAGATAACAGCAAGAGGTTATTTATTACTTTCGTGACGCACCATCAGTGTGCTAATAATGCTCAACTATACATCTCACCGTTTCAGACCAGACCACACCAAAAATATTATAGTGGGCCTGATCCAGTATCTTGAGGCTTGTGAGGGATTGTATGGGTCCAAACATGCACGGATTGAACGGGCATCATCCTGATCTTCAGGCAGACTCCAGTGAGGATTGCATTCCCTTTGCAGGAAGACATTTTGAGGAACTGGGATGCCCTTGCAAAACTGACTCACAGTCCTTTTGCCCAAAAGTTAAGACTACTGCAATGTGCTCTAAATGAAAATGTCTTTGAAGGTGACTTGGCAGTTGCAGTTGGTTCAGAATGCATGCTTTGGCTATTAAGGAGAGGGGTAGGTTCACCTAATACACCCATGCTGAACTTGCTGCGCTGTTGACTAATAACCTTCCACAGTCAATTCAAGGAACTGGTTTTCAACTTTATATGGCTTGGCATCCATTTTACTTACTTAACTTAAATAGCAATACAGTCCATTTACTTCACCTGTTTCAAAGAAGGGTGATACAAAAGCACAGTTATAAATAAATAAGTTGCAAAAGGTTAGTTGTATGTGCAGAAGTACTATAAAAATAAACTATATTTATTACTGCTGCAGCTTCCCATCTAATTGGAAGATACATGATTCTAAATTTCAAATTCAGTTATCTGATTAACAGAACTCTGCAGCATGAAGGGAACACGGCCATCTCAAGTGGCCACTGTGCTCAGTGGATAGGAACTGGGAAAGGAACTCTCCAAATTTCTGTTTGACATTAGAGAGAAACTTCCTCTTGTATTGGAATCCACAAGTTATGTTTTTACTCATGTTGTGCAATGAAGTTGCCACTCTCCATGCTTCTTTGTTCAATGCACACACTGCTTTTCAGTTAGCAAACATCTTCATGAATGGATATAGGAGAAAAATGTCCACATTGGGCTTCTCCCTCTGAAACGTATTTTGAAAAAATGGTACCTTCTATTCTATCTTGGGCACACATAGGATAAAATACATCTAAAAGATCCTAACTCTGCAGAACCGTGTTTGAGGATGTGCTATCAAATAATTTTATTTTGCATGGTTGTAAACAAGATATCTTCTTTCTGCTTGTTGTTTTCAGAAGAGAACCTGCTATTGCTGAACTACAACATTAGTGTTCCTTACTGTTAACATGCTAACCAAAGTTGCTAAGAGCTGTCATTCAATAACAGACTGTAGTTTCCTCATTCCTGAGACAAAGGAAAAAGGGGGGGGAAAATCAGAGCAAGGCGAGATTTGTGCATAGCAAATATTATATTTCATAAAATATCAAGACTCCCCTTTTAAGAGATTTCCAGAACTGACACTAAAAGGGAACTGGTATTCCGATCCTGCCAGCATTTAACAGAAATATGTCTAACAATGCCAAACCTCTATGTTTTAGCAAAGATGTTCTTGATTAAAATGATCGTTTTAGCATTTAATTCATTTTGATGTTGCAATTTTCCCTTCTGCTCCCCATTCTTCAAAATAGCATCAACATGTCTGAATTATAGGTCATGGTACTGTTACTGGAAGTTGGGGAGTGATCTCATTTTCAGTAGAAGCACCTACGCGCCTTGTTACTTATTACCTGGATATTATAATGACTATCATAGAACTGCTAAAATATACAGTGTAAGAATATGTATGTAAAGAAGGTGTTTCATTAGAATTTCAATCTGGTAGTTGAGTGCTTCCAAGTCTGTCTCTCCTACTACCAAGTGGCCTGGGCAGAAATCTTAGTGTAAAACAAATTTGGGGGGACGGGGGACGGGACTATAACAAGAATTTCATGTGGTATATCCTGGACCAGACAATATTAACTATTTTTTATGGAGAAGCTCATTTTGTATCCTAGCCTGCAAAATCTGCCATGAACAAGATGTATTTCACTCTTACAGTCTGGTCCTTCAATTGCACAATGAATGTAGGCCTCCTAGATGCAGAAGATCATCTGATAAAGTCAAAATGAAATGCCATTTGGTAGAGAAAACGCCACTTAAAAAACGGTGATTGTTCTGAAGGCAGGTTTCAGTAATTATGCTCACCATGGTGAGGACTGCACGCCTTGAAATTGTTGAGGCCAGCAGTTACTACTCTACATTTCTGCAATCTATTTCTGCTATTATCTTCAACTTCTTCAAAAGTTCAAACTGGGGTTTTGCTGCTGAGATGTTGAAAGATACTAGCAAACACCCAACGGTCTTGCTTTGAGGTAGGAGAAGCAAAGAAAGGAGAGCTGTACATTGTTTGCTGAATATGCCTGCTCTGGGCAATAAGACCAGGCATTACTAACATGATTAGAGAACCTGCTTGTATAGAATAAGCTTACCTCCTTTGGGTAACCACCATTATATCTAGAGCCTAGATGACCTGTGCTAGTTACTAAACTTGTAGGTCAGCTATTACAGTCACTTACTACTAGCCCTTCCTTTTTAAATTCTTCCTCCAATTTGCTCTAACTGAGGGAATCTCAGGTAATGCTTGACATACAAACATTTATTTAGTGACTGTTCAAACTTACAATGGCATGGAAAAAAAATGACTTATGACTTTTTTCACACTTATGACCATTGCAGCATCCCCGTAGTCCAAATTTGGATGCTTGCCTTGACAATTGGCATACATTTACGATGGTTGCAGTGTCCCATGGTCATGGTCCAACCTTTTACAACCTTCTGGCAAACACAGTCAACGGGGAAACCAGATTCACTTAAAAAACAACTGTGTTACTAACTTAACTCCTGCAGTGATTCGTTTAACTGTGGCAAGAAAAGTCATAAAATGGGGCAAAACCCACTTAACAACTGTCTTGCTTAGCAACAGAAATGTTGGGTTCAAATGAAGTTGTACATCAAGGATTACCTGTATGTCATTCAGAGCAAACTGGACAAACTGTCCAGAGCTTGTCTGTATAAAATACAACAGAGACAGCAATACAATCCAAATATCTGTAAATAGAATTCCCTTGTTACATTTATTTCTATGAAAACAACTATCCTACTGAAGTGCACTCAGTTGTACTGTAGACAGTGAAATGTCTACTGAAACGCACACAGTTGCAGACAAATGCACCTCAGCATTAACACAAAGCCATCTTGCCTCCATTTACAGAGTGTCATCAAACACAAAACAGACTTAAGGAGACTGTTCCCAACTTTCTGTGTTTGTGTGCACTGACAAGATTTATGCTGGGACTTTTCTAACTAATGTCTTAGAACAAGCCAGCCACTTAAGCATGATTCTCATTCCTGTGGCTACACTCAGCATGGCAAGCTCATTGAAAGGAATGCAGGAATTAGTGAAAACTTACTTAATTTCATAAACCCCTTATTTATAGCAACAAGAAGCTGCTTGCTGGCAAATAATAAACAGTCACCCTGCACAAAGAAACGACTTTTTTACTTCCTTATTTCAAGAACACCCCCTCCCCCCCAAACACTGCTATAGTATGATGCAGGAGAAAAGGCTAAATTCCACCTTAGCTATGAAAGCCAGCTGGGTGATTGTGAACCAGACTCTCTCAGATCAACCCACCTGGCAGGGTTGTTGTTCTGGGGAAAAGGGAAGGGAGGAAGGTGTGTTGAATAGGTTCGTCACCTTGAATTATTTGTAAAAATACTAAAAGTGGGATACAAATAAATAAATTGGCAAAATGCTTCACTCAGGAATACCTTATAAAAGAAGTATCTTTCAAATGGCTTTAAAAAGAACAAATGAACAGTTAAAAGTTTTCAACAAGTTGAAAGAAATCCTAACTTTTTCCCTATGCATCTTATTTGATGAAAAAAACCTAAAACCTAAAAGAGCGTTTCTTGTAGCTTTCCCCAGCCTAGTGCTTTGTCTTGAATTGGTTTTGAACTCCCACAGACCCCAGCCATCAGAAAAATGGCTCTATTTCACTATTGTCCCTTTTTAGTGACAATTCTGTTTTACATGTTAAAGGCTTCTCATGAATGCTCTAGCAAAATGCAGAATTTTCCTCCTCCCCAGAGCTGCCATTGCCAAAGAACAACAAAAACCATACACGACACTTACTGAAAGTACTTTCCACTACAATACAATAAGTACTTTCCACTTTGATACAATAAGCATCATTTTTTTCTGTAAGAATAATTTTACATAGGATCATTTTAATATCTGGCTAACTTCACCTTTACTTAGCAACATCAAATAAAAGCACCTTAAAAATAGCAGACAGGGCAGAAATATAGGCGGATGCCAAGAGTGTGAATATACCAGGATCACCTTGCCTAATTGATCAATTTTTATTTCTGCTCAAAGTTGAACCTAGTAACAAGATGTCGTAAAGCTGAGCACAACTCACGGTGACTCATGGTGACTATTTTAGATATGTCCATGTTGTTTTCTTCACAACACTATGGAAGTTCTTGTTTTCTTCTAAGATTTTTAAAAATGTCCCTGTGTAATCTACAGCCTTGGGATTTCTGTAGGCTTCCATTTAAATATTAACCCCAACAAAAGTCTCTTAGCTTTTTAAAAACAGAATCAAGATCAACCATGACAAATATGTAAGTTAGATTTTGGTGAATTATGATTCACTCTAGTTCAGATCTGAGAAATGACAAGAGAACGGCGAAACTAACATCAGGATATGTTTAAATAAATCAACCTGACATGAATAAATCAATGCCTCACTATGGTTTATTCACTGTCTCCTATATGTGTTAAAAGCCAGGGTGTGTTAGGAAAACCTGGTTTATTTAAGCTCCCGTTTGAAGTCTGGAGGACGTATGTGGACATTAGTAATGATGTCATAATTATGGTTTTTACAATGATTTATTAATATTGTATATATACTTGATTGTACTTTGTAAACCTCTCAGTTTTGACTTTTTGATTAACATTAATAAATAATAAACAGAAGCCAAAAAGAAAATGGGATTAACCCATGTGTTTGATCACGTTTTAGGGATTAAAAAGAAACAACAAAACAAAACAAGAGGAACAATGGGAGGAAACATCCCCCAATGCTGGTCCCTCACTGCAGGAAGAAGTAAAGGAAAATAAACAAAAGCCAAGGCAAACTCCCTGGGAAAACTGGAACAACCGTTTCGTAAGAACTGGAGAAAGACACCTCACCCCTCGAAAACCAAAGAAAAAGGGGGGGGGGGTCGCTAACAGTGCATGCAAGCTTCTTTTTGTTGATGATGTTATTCTGAACGCGTCGATTAGATCCAGAATCTCAAACAGAGATGAGATTTTAGATGCCCCCACTCCCCAGGGACGCTTGATACGCTGTATTTTCCCACGAAGGACGGGGTGGGTGGGTAAGAGTAGACAGAAAAAGAGCGAATGGCGGGGAAAGAATCCGGAATGGGCTCAAAAGCAAGAGGCCAGACCTTGCACCAGATCTTAAGGTATATGGAGATTGTCAGTCAGATCAGATCTAATGTTGGCTTCTTCTGGCGCGCGCGCGCGTGTGTGTGGGGGGGTCCTCTTCCCCTCCCCCAACTCCATCCCTCCCGAGGGCCACCCAGGCCATATTCCCCTCTCCTCCCCTTGTAAGAAACGAAGCGCAGGCGCCAGCCAGCCCTGCCCGCTTTCACCTCCTGGTCTAACTTTTGATCTCCGGCTTACCTTCCGTCTGCGGTTCCCGGGTGTTAAACCCGCTGCAGTGGCTCCAACCTAAAAGCGCCAGGACGAGCCAGGGCCTCACGAGCCTCATTCTTCTGCACCTCTCGCTCGGGGCGCGCCCCCTTTTTTCGTCTTACGGCTCGACGAGCAGGGGGGAGACGAAGGGAGAACGGGACCGACAGAGGCGGCCTCCGCGCTTCCGTAATCAGAACCGCGGCCTGGAGCCGCTTCCCCAGCCTAGACGAGCTCCACCTAGCTGGTGCCTTCCAAGAAGGGGTGGGGCAACTGCTGGACTTTTTACCAGAGAATGGCCGCTAATTGGAGCCGGGAAAAGGAGGGGTGGGTGGGTGGAAGGTTGACTTGGATTTATTGGTCGGGGAATAAAAGAATTACGAGCTAGCTGTGTGGGGTTTCCTGCGGCAAAGCTTTGTAAGTGGGGCCTAGCTGTTGCCTGTTTTGTGTTTTCTTATTTTAACTATGTTTCAAGGGCACGTTTTTCTTTGGAGGAAAGCCTTTATCCGCACCGGCCCCGGAGTCGTTCCGCCCCGCCCCCACCACCATCCCCTCTTTTCATTACCATTTCTGGGTTGCAAAAAATCCGGACGGCCGTTGTGATGGCAACAAAGGGGAAATACAAAACTCGAACTTATCCGGATGTTCGCAGTTCGGAGATAGCATCCTAGTTCTTGCGCAGGAGGGCAAACGGGACAATCGGAAAAAAAAAAAATTAAATTCAGCGGCAAGCCATGTTTGTCTTACTGGCAAGGAAACTATAGGGATGGAGCCGGGCTGTCGCCTGGAATCAAGCTGATTTAAAGGAGACCCGGTTTTTAATCACATCGGGCTGGACGAGATGGTGGTTTTTGCACCGTTGAATGATGTCATCACCGTTTCCCCAAATATATGAAAAATAAGCGTAGGTCACTAAAAGCCCCTCCTCCTTATTCTGCCTTGCTACAGTTCTTTTCTAAGTGAATGTAGGAGTCCTGCCATACTCTGAAGTCTTTGCGTTACTGTACTGTTCAGTTCTGCTTCCTGAGAAGGCTGTTAACAGTTGCATCAAAAGGGTTTGCTTAAGCTCCCTTTTCATACAGTATTGCAGAATGTTCCTCCCAGCAGTGTGTTGTACATTTCACTCAGAATATGGTAAGATAAATTACTGGCTAAGGTGTGGTGTCTCAATTGCAGTGCCTGAAACAAATCTTGAAAACAAACATTTTGTAGAAACTGCTAGAGATTGTTTTACAGACGGGGATTATGACCTTGATAAATGGACATAATCCGGAGAAAAGGCCAGGCCGTTCTGCTCATACAGATAACCCTAGATTTACAACCATTCATTTAATGGCTGTTAGAAGTGACAAGGGCACTGAAAAAAGTGGCTTAAAACAGACCCCACAGGTGTGACTCTCACAATATCCCCATGGACATGTGATCAAAATTCATGTCCTTGACAATTGGCTTGTATTTAGGACAGTTGGTGCACTCCTCAGTAGTATTAATGTCGTTTGCAACCTTCCCAGCCAGCTTCTGACAAGCAAAGTCAGTGGGGGAAGCTGTATTTACTTAACAACCACATGATTCACTTAACAACTGCAGTGATTCGCTTAACAACTGTGGCAAAAATGGTAATAAAATTAACCACCGCCTGCCTTAGCAACAGAAATTCTGGTCCAACTGTTGGAAGAGAACATATGAAATTGTAAACAAGACAGACGAAAGTATAAGTATAATGAATAAAAAGATATAGAAATTTAGGTAAAAGAAATACAATTGAATAAGAAGAAAATGAGATAACCATAAAAGAAAATTAAGAGAAGTAAAGAGAGAAATAGTGAGAAGTTGGAAAAAGAGTAATAAAATATGAAGTTGAATACATAAGATGAATATGCATATGAAATTGTGTCTGTATGGAAATGTGATGATCCGGAACCATGCTGTACTCAAATAAGATGTTTTATTTGTTTTGTTAAAACTCAATAAAACTTTATTAAAAAAAAATTCTGGTCCAACTGTGTTCAGGATTGCTTATTTCGGGATGGATGTGGGAAGTAGATATGGAACAAGATTTTAGTGCCAATGTAGTCTGTAAACAATATTTAGTACAGTTTAACAACAAAGGGAAAAAATTACTAATATTTCATTTCAGACTTTCTGGAAATTAGTCTTAACTGAAAAATAAAACAGCCAGTCCTTTGCTGCTGCTTTTCTAGATACCTCAGAGTCTTTAAAAGATTCTAGTATACAGGTGAAACTCGAAAAATTAGAATAACGTGCAAAAGTTCATTTATTTCAGTAATGCAACTTAAAAGGTGAAACTAATGTGTGAGATAGACTACATGCAAAGCAAGATAGTTCAAGCCATGATTTGTCATAATTGAGATGATTATGGCTTACAGCTCATGAAAACCCCAAATCCACAATATCAGAAAATTCAAATATTGTGAAAAGATTCAATATTCTAGCCTCAAAATGTCCCACTCTAATCAGCTAATTAAGCCATAACACCTGCAAAGGGCTCCTGGGCCTTTAAATGGTCTCTCAGTCTGGTTCAGTAGGAATCACAATCATGGGAAAGACTGCTGATCTGACAGTTGTGCAGAAAACCATCATTGACACCCTCCATAAGGAGGGAAAGCCTCAAAAGGTAATTGCAAAAGAAGTTGGATGTTCCCAAAGTTCTGTATCAAAGCACCTTAATAGAAAGTTATGTGGAAGGGAAAAGTGTGGAAGAAAAAGGTGCACAAGCAGCAGGGATGACCGCAGCCTGGAGAGGATTGTCAGGAAAAGGACTTTCACAAGGAGTGGACTGAGGCTGGAATCAGTGCATCAAGAGCCACCACACACAGATGGATCCTGGACATGGGCTTCAAATGTATCCCTCTTGTCAAGCCACTCCTAAACAACAAAAAACATTAGAAGTGTCTTACCTGGGCTAAAGAAAAACAGAACTGGTCTGTTGCTCAATGGTCCAAAGTCCTCTTTTCTGATGAGAGCAACTTTTGCATCTCATTTGGAAACCAAGGACCCAGACTGATCTGGAGGAAGAATGGAGAGGCACACATTGCAATATGCTTGAACTCCAGTGTGAAGTTTCCACAGTGTGTTGATTTGGGGAGCCATGTCATCTGCTAGTGTTGGTCCACTGTGCTTCATTAAGTCTAGGGTCAATGCAGCCGTCTACCAGGAGATATTGGAGCACTTCATGCTTCCTTCCGCAGACGAGCTTTATGGAGATGCTGATTTCATTTTCCAGCAGGACTTGGCACCTGCCCACACTGCCAAAAGCACTAAAACCTGGTTCAATGACCATGGGATTACTGTGCTTGATTGGCCATCAAACTCGCCTGACCTGAATCTATGGGGCATTGCCAAGAGAAAGATGAGAGACATGAGACCGAACAATGCAGAAGAGCTGAAGGCCGCTATTAAAGCATCCTGGTCTTCCATAACACTTCACCAGTGCCACAGGCTGATAGCTTCCATGCCACGCCGCATTGAGGCAGTAATTGCTGCAAAAGGGGCCCAAACCAAGTACTGAGTGCATATGCATGCTTATACTTTTCAGAGGTCCGATATTGTTCTATGTACAATCCTTGTTTTATTGATTGCATGTAATATTCTAATTTTCTGAGATTGTGGATTTGGGGTTTTCCTGAGCTGTTAAGCCATAAATCATCACAATTATGACAAATCACGGCTTGAACTATCTTGCTTTGCATGTAATGAGTCTATCTCATATATTAGTTTCACCTTTTAAGTTGCATTACTGAAATAAATGAACTTTTGCACGATATTCTAATTTTTCGAGTTTCACCTATATGTGGCACCCAATTAGCTGATGCTGTTATATTTGCTATTTCTTTTAATATACCATGTATGTAAGGCCCAATTTTACATTAAAACTACTGCACTAATGAGGTCAAGTAAATTCTCCCTATCTCCCATCTTATTAGAGTACTGTGTTGTCACCTGCTGTTTTTCCAATACGAAAGTTACTTCCTTTGGGGAAAAGGTGCTTGCATCAACAAAGGTAAAAAAGGGATCCATGTACAACTTTCAAAAAACTAAATAAAACACTGAAGATGGTGTTTGATTTCATTGTACGAGGTGCAATGACAATAAAGTAAACTAAACTAAACTAAATGTTGAGGCCCTTCCCCTCCTAGACTTGTATTCTGTTTCAGTAATGCTTATACTGGGTGTGTATTTTAAAGGTTGGAATTCATTGCTGAGCGAAAGTATCAGTGGAACTTATTAAAAAAATGCAGTGAGCAACTCTGAAATCGGTGCCTTGAACTGTAGTATTAATTTATTAATACAAATAAAAGGGATGTGTCTTATTAACTAAATCAATCTGGATCTCGTAAGCACTTCAGGAAATAACATTCAGAATTTTTTTAAGCAAAAAGGCTGCTTTTCTTATCAATAGCTACAACGTCCATGGATCAGTTAACAAGGGAGATCTAAAGTGAAGAGCTAATCTTGCAGATGTCCAGAATCTAAGAAATGTTTTTGAACCCAAATGAATCACATATTTTATTTATTTATTATTTATTAAGCTACCCATCTCACAAAAGGTGGTTCTGGGACACATACAGAAATACGATAAAACAATACATGCAAAACGATCAATATAAAAATATAAGAATCAATATTAAAAAATAAATATTATAAAAACAAAATATACTAAATTGAGGAAAAAAAGAGAATAAGAATAGCCAGCTCAGCAGTGGAATCATCTAAGCATGTCTCCTGACACTAGGAAATTCCAGGCCTAACCGAGTCTTGAAGGATTTCTGGAATTTCAAAAGGAGTGGAGGTAATCTAATTTTGGGAGGAAGAATATAACTTTTTCCAACAAGTGTGTTTGCTTCTCAAATCGTTATTGTAACATTTGATAGTTTAATAATCTTAATGCAATGAAAATTATTGAAGGAGGATGTTTAGTTACTATAGTTATACCACATCAAATAAAGAATAAATCTGGCTTTTTAAAAAAGCATTTCTTTAAAAAGAATCTTACAGTATATAATACCTTGATTCAAAGCTGACACCATGCCAACCTCATATATTCGCTACAATGATGGATTCAATGCATATTATTTGAGAGGAAATCCAATTAGAGGATGGGCAGGGGGCAGTAATGGGCAAAATGGCTGCCCTTATATATCTCCTAACACGCAGGTGTCAAACTAGATGCATCACATGATGTCACATGACGTATCACAATGTTTGTTGTCTTTGTGGC